ATGTAATCAGAGCAGGCCTTGCGGCCAGCCTCCTTTGCAGTTGTCTCATCAGCCCCATTCTTTAGCGCCTGTGCCCTTGCTTTCTGGTAAGCAACACTTTTTCTTGACAGCAAATTCTTTTCCTCTCGCTTCTCCTCAGCTGTTTTCACCTTCTTCCTGGAGGCCTTAGCCTTAGCCACAGCCTTGGCCTTGGCACGACCCTTTGCCTTAGCCTTTGCTTTCGGGCTAGGGGCGGCCTTTGCCTTTGCCTTTGCCTTTGGCTTAGGCGATGCCTTGCTTTTTGCTGCCCGTGCTCTTCCTTACTGTAGCACTCGGGGCAGCGGCACCAGGATCACCCTTTGCATCACCCCCCTCACCTGCCGGTTCCTCTTCATCTTCCTCCTCTTCTGAACCTCCACCCTCATTGTCCTCACCACATTCATCAGTGACATTGCCCTTTCCCCGCTTCTTTTTGGCGGGGGGTGGCAGGCATGGAGCTGCCAGAAGTGCGGCAACATCAGATGGTACCTGGCCAAAACACATTCTGTGGGCGATCTCTTTGTTAAAGAGTCAATGCATCAATGTTACTTCAAACAGGGCCATGTTGCAGGTTCTTCTTCTTCCATGGGTTTATCAGCAGGTTCCTCTCCCTTTGGAACTTCATGCATGAACTCTTCCGGAAGTATGTGGGGCAATGTCTCCACCTCATCAGGGCCTGGGTTGCACAGTGCAGGTAACATTGGGCTCATGACAGGAAGGAAGAACAAACTCAGCTCATCACTCACCACGGGCTTTGAAGGAACCACATTCGGCATCTTTGCTGCTTCAGTAGCGCTTCCACCAATGCCACTCGGTTCATGCATGGGAAATGCTGGGGACTGGTCTGGGTCATGCATGTCACGTGTGCGAACACGTGTTGTTCTGTTCAGCTCGATCACTTTCAGCCTTTCCTGCAAAAGGGCCTCCAGTTCAGCCAGCTCCTTTACCAACTTGGACTTGGCCACTTGTGCATCTTCAAATTGAAGAGCTCTCGCAGTCGCAGTGGTTTTCTCCGTGCTCGGCAGGTCAGCTGGAGGGGTGCCTCGGGGAAAAAAACAACCGATTGAAGCAACATACAATTCATGGATATTCTTACCTGTTCACATAATCATGCAAACCAGGAACAGGCTGCCAGTGGAGAAGGGGTGTCCAGAGTTGGGCCTGTGCAAGTTGAATGCAAATTAAACAGCTGACGCACAACATCATGCGCGCAACCTACACATGCATGCATGATCCCATGATCGGCCTGAACTGGAACTTGGGCTGCGGGTTTGCTTGGGTTCTTCGATGTTGTTTCCCTCATCCTTGCGCTGGTCCTTGCCGTTGCCCAGCTCACCATCGCTACCCACACCTGTCTTTTGCTCATTCACAGCTTTCCCTTCCTAGGCGCACAACATGCAACAAATCAGAAACTACACATGCGAAGTTTACTTCTTGCATATGTCATGAGATAAGATCCCCACATCTTCCGAATCAGAATCTCCAGATGAAGATCCCGTCTCATTATCAGAGTCCTCATCCTTCTGAGAGCCTGTGAATGTAAGCTAGGCATTTTGTCCCATGAGCAAACTTATTGGCCTGGCAGATTGATGCCAGCACTGATGAAGATATCACGGATGTCACCATCTCTGGGGATATGGGGCCGCCTCAATCATGCATGCTTGGAAAAACAAAAGAACAAAGCCTTTAGAGGTCTCAGTGAACATGCATCCAAGCCATGCGTCTTCGCGATCCGTGAAAATTTGAAGAGCAGCTGCTTCACAACACGCGACTGCATCTTGTGCCTGGTACCTAAATGGGTCTTTTTTGCGTGCGTGCATGGATGAGCTGAATGCATGAGTGTTGAAATCAATACCTGTACCTTTTGAAACCAAGCGACTGCATACTTCTTGGTTCTTTGGCAAGCACAAAGAAAAAATTGCCAGACAGCTTGTTCTACCATTCCCTGACTTGGCCGCATTCCGAGTTTTTTCACGGCAAGGCCAATAGCCTCCTTATTCTTTGCGACATCGCCTACGCCGAGCATGTATTAACACACAGGTGAATGCAAGACTGCGCAACCCCATATGATATGTATGCATGTCAGTGGCCTCTTGTGAGCTGCTTGCCGCTGATAACGCATAGGCTGTGTTGGGCACCAAGAGCTTTGAGCTTTGTGTTGTTCGCCCATGCAGCTGCAAGGACAGCGGCCTGTTCACGAAATGCCATGTTCACCCCTAATGGCTTCAACTTACAACAGGCCAGCCAAACGCTGCAAAGAACAAAGCACATATGCATGCATTGCAAGTTGTAACATAAGTCATGCATGGCAAACAGTGCTTCGCAATCCAATACAATTCACAGCATTGGTCACGATCTCACTTGGCTTCAGAGCACCTGTGCACAGATCATTAATCGTATGCGTGCCTGTATCTTGAAGTCTTTCACCCCACACCATCATGCATGGGCTGGCCTCTCCAAGAACTCGAGCAAAGCAATCAGCCGTCACCCCTGCTCTCCATCGCACGCCTCTCAACAAGACAGTCTGAATCCATGCATGATTATGTATACGTAGCACAACAAACTGGCCATGCATGGCTAAAGCAAGCTGGCCTTGAGGGGTGTCAGCCACCATGTTGCAAGTCTTGGCCACTAACAAACAAAATGGCTGCTGTGAACGAACACGTCATGCATGAAAGCATGGGAACCTTCAACATCACGCCCAACACTTATCAAATCGTCCATAATCTTCCAAAATAACATCAAACATGTTGAAACCAAAAAAACACAAAAATCATAGGCTTCCAAAAAAAAGTGCTCGCTTTTGGGTGCTCCTCACTTTTGCGCTCGACTTTGTAAAAAGTGTATCGAATTTCACCTTGAACACTTTTTTTTGTACCAAAGGAAGGTCCAGGTGGTTTGATTCATGGTGGTTCCACACGATACTTTCCCCACAAACAGGTTTCCCACCGCACTGCAGCTGCTGAACGCCGCTTCCACTTGCGCTTGTCGTGAAACTTGTGTTAAACAATACTTTTCTGCGGACTCATGCACCTTTCCGTTCCTTCACCTTCCTTCTCAACGTGGGAACTGAGTTCACTGAATACCAATGTCAGAGTGTGTTTCGCTCAGCCGTCCCACTCGGGTGCTGAGTGTGATCCCCGTCACTGGGGCGCTGAATTCATGCCGGAAATCGTGTAACTGAGCTTTTCCACCTTCACCGGAATTCACCACTTGACCAGCCTTAACTGAATTTACTGCTTCCACGGCCGCCGGGCCAAAAAACGGGATTTGACAAGCCGCCGGGCTTAACAACGGCATTCATCCCCCTTCAGGCAAGTCTCCCAACCCCCCCCCACCGCGTTCTTATCCCGACCTAATTAGGGTAACACAGGGAAATGGTACTCGACACACTTGTGTGTCGGTGCCTTTCCCTTTGTTGTCCCTGTTCTAGTCTATCCTACCCGGGCGGTCTAAGACTAAAGTCCCGCTCCCTAACTATTGCATTTAATTCATTTCTGCTAAGTAAACAGTAACTCTAGAGTGCTAGGTATTCAGACACACACATGTACACACACATGAACATACACCCCCTCCCTGCCCCCCGCTTTCCTTCTTGCGCTTTTCGTCGTTTGTTGGGCTTTCTCTCAGGCTTTTTAGGTTGCTCTTGAGGCTCGTTTCCCTACCCCAGTCAAGGGCTAAGTACTCACTTTTTCTACACCTACCTTTCCTTCTTGCCCTCTTAGCGCTGCTCTTTCTGTCTTTCCTTTCTTTTGTTTCTAAGGCTTTTTAGGTGACTATTGAGGTGTTTCACACGAGCGCCGCGAAGCGGCACCGTGTGTGTGTGTGTGTGTCACCCCCTGTACCAAAGGGTTCAATGCCACTGTTTCCACCACCACTACTCCATAAAGCAGGGGCGTGTGGCCTTCTTGTCCTACCACACGCAACGAAGCTGTGGACAAGAAGGGGAAGCAGGGACTGATCACCCCTGTGTACCTGCTACAACTTTTGAACAAGCTGTCCACTCCTTTGGTTTGATTCATGGTGGTTCCACACGATGCTTTCCCCACAAACAGGTTTCCCACCGCACTGCAGCTGCTGAACGCCGCTTCCACTTGCGCTTGTCGTGAAACTTGTGTTAAACAATACTTTTCTGCGGACTCATGCACCTTTCCGTTCCTTCACCTTCCTTCTCAACGTGGGAACTGAGTTCACTGAATACCAATGTCAGAGTGTGTGCCACCTCCCGTCTCCAGGGACACTAACCTACATGTCTCTTTTTCACTAGTCACTATTGTACATAGTTCCGCAGGGGGGCCCATGGGCACTTGGATGGCATGGGCAAACGAAGACCCATCCATGTTGCCGTGAACACGTACCTGCAATTGTTTAATCGTTTCCTCAGTCTCACCCATGTTCAAATTATGCAGTTATTGTGGACTCATTCACCTTTCGGTTCATCAGCCAAGGTCTAGTCTGCAGTAAGACAGTAAAGAGCTAATAAGCACCGAGGACCGAGATCCAACCTGAACACTTGCTCCATGGAGTTTTTTCTCAAGTGTGTGTGTGTGCGCGCGCGTTTTGGAAGGTCTTGGAACGAACATTCTCCTTGGAATGTGTGAGCGCGTCGGAGGTTGGCTTGTGAGATCATAATCGTCAAGGTGCTTTGACCGTTTTCTTCATGTTTCTTTTGGCGGCATTATCAGGAGCACATTGTTATATTTTGTCGGTCTTGGTGTTCGGAACCTGGCGCATCAACTTCGTAGACTTCAGATGATGAACCGATGAACCTGCCAGGTAGGTTCTTCCGTGCCACCCCCCAGAGTTTCGGAGCTGTGCAATGGCCATGAAGGTTGCTGGTGGTCCCTCAAGTAGGACAATGAGAACAATGTTGACCAAACACTTTTCAGGGGATTCACTATTTCCACTTGCGGAAGACTAAACATAGTCGACGCGGATGACGTCTAAGACTGCCCTGAGCAGGTCCACACAGACACTCGCAGGAACTGCTCGTGAAGTCGCGGCAGGGCATGCTCTCTTGCCGGGTCCGCTCGGGTGCCAGGCCCGTGGTCGGCACTGCGCCTGGGAAGCACTTAGCGCTGCGCCGCCGGAACCGGTGGAACGTCGCGCCGGGGCAGGGCATGGTTCGGTCGTTTGGAAGAAGCTCCTAGCAGGTGAACACATGAGTGTTCCACCGGCAGCCTCAGGACGTCATTTGTTTCATGAAGCGGGTGAAGCAGTTGCTGAAGCTTTCTAAGAACCACACCGGGAACATACAGGCAACAAGCAGATCCAAAAGCCAGGTGGAGGATGACAGATTTTGTATGCAATGCCCGTTGTTGGATGTCAATGCGAAATGGTCCCAACATTTCTGCTCTTTGGCATGGGTTCTCCTTACATCTCTCCCCTGTCCCGAGGTTCTGCAGTCGGGCCGTCCGAGTGAGCTAGATGAAGATGATGGAGCATCCCAGACAGGCACTGCCTGGTTGCCAGGGTCGGACACCCTTGAGGGTCCTTCGGAGTACACTTATAAATAGATCCTTAGGTCCTTAGCCTATCTTAGCCCCCTATTGTTTTGTAACTAGGGATTTGCTACTAGACCACGAAAGGTTCAAGTTAAACCTTTATTATAGCAGGGGATCCTAAGGACAAATGGATGTTCTATTGGTTCGGCATATAGTTCCTTTTGGGATGCTCAATTCCAGGGTGTTTGTTTTTTGGCCCCTGACTGTTTACAGAGGTCCCACCAGGTTGTGATGGACATAAAACATTGTTTCAAGATGCTCCACATTTTTGCAAAAGGCTTTTCAACCTTAAACCCACTTGCGAACTCTGTCTATTCATGCGCAATCAGGAAATTCACTAGACACTGGAATCTTGACATTTGCTCCCACACAAGGTTCCAGCGGATTTCTGAAGAGAACGCTTGCAGGCTCCAGTGGATGCACTCATCCTATCGATGTGAACTTCAGTGGCAAGGACGCCTGGGGGCAGCGGGATAGTGCAAGAGGTGCCGGCAGTTGCCCCATGAGAGACTACTGCCGCGGCGGGAAGTCATCATGTTTCTTCTGGCGAGTTGACCTACAGTGGGGATATTTGAGGAGGGCAGTATTGTTCCAGATGCATATATCATATAAAATACTAACAAGTCTTACACAATGTACAAAAACAATGAAACATGTGTAGATGGAGCACTCGAAAGCAATGGTTAGTACAGAACTTGGGCCCTAACCATTGGTGACCTCCAGAGCAGCGTTCACTCAGAGCTGAGCGTCTAGGAATCTCACTACCCTCGTTCGTCTTGGGGGGGCTTGCAGCATTTCGACGTACCCAAAGTGTTCGAAAACCGAATTCCCCTGGTGGTGTGTGTTGACATCTCAACGCCGGAGATCCGTCTCGAGATCGAAACCAAAAACACCGGACACCCAAAGAAAGGAACGGATTCGTCCGGTCCGAAATGAGGAAGAAGCAAGGAGAACGACTCAGCTGAAAATGGTGGCTGAAGCAGGTCAAGAGCATTCAAGAGTCTTAATGATAACTGTTTAACACAAGGGTCAAAAATGATGTGATTGTTGCCATCGGCCAATTCGTTCGATGAGCGTCGGATAACGGTGCCATGTGTGAAGTAGCGTTGCAAGATGTTGCAATCTCCAAAAGTAGCTGCATCAAGGCTTTTGGCGTGCCTTGGTTTGCTTGGGCAAAGTGTGCCCAGTCTGTGACATTTTCGCCCTAGAAAGGATGGACCGGCGGTGGACAGAAACTACATATGTACACACTCTGACACTTGTATTCAGTGACTCAATTACCACGATGGGAAGGATGGCGATGGAACAGCAAGGCGAAAAGGTCCAGTGACTTGAATTGTTGAAAAAATGCTTCACTCGCGCGGCTGGCTGCAATTCACAAGCGGCGGAAAGCTGCGGTGGGAAACCTGTTTGTGGGGAGTAGCATGAAGGACCATGGAAGCAAACCGAAAGTGGAAAAGCTTAAGCAACAGTTCCGTCAGCGCAGGTACGCCAGGATGGCCAATCCTGGTATCCCGTGTTCAGACTAGCTTCGTTGGGCGTAGTCATCTGAACACGCTACGCCCCCCTGCATGTGAAAGGTGGTGGAAAATCAGTGAAAGAAGTGGCGGTGGAAAACCCTGAAAGTTGGTGGAAATTCTGTGGCGGTGGAAAACTACCCTTTGTCCAGGGGTGGACACACACAGGTCGCCGGCTTCGGCGCTTTTTCAAAGAACGATGGCACAGACACGCTGCCGCTTGGCGGCGCGTGCGTGGAAAGCCTGAATAGATACCTAAAAAGCCTTAGAAACAAAAGGAAAGAAACACAGAAAGAGCAGCGCTAAGAGGGCAAGAGAGAAAGATAGGCGTAGAAAAAATGAAAAATGAATACTTAGCCCTTGACTGGGGTAGGGAAACGAGCCTCAAGAACAACCAAAAAAGCCTGAGAGAAAGCCCAACAAACGACAAAAAACGCAAGAAGGAAAGCGGGGGGCAGGGAGGGGGTGTATGTTCATGTGTGTGTACATGTGTGTGTCTGAATACCTAGCACTCTAGAATTACTGAATACTTAGACGAAGTGAATTAGGTGCACTAGTTAGGGAGCGGGACTTTAGTCTTAGACCGCCCGGGTAGGAAAGACTAGAACAGGAACAACACAGGGAAAGGCACCGACACACAAGTGTGTCGAGTACCATTTCCCTATGTTGCCCTAAATAGGTAGGGAGTAGAACACAGCGGGGGGGGGGTTTGGGGAACCTGCCTCATGGGGGGTGAGCACCGTTTTATAGCCCGGCGGCTGTCGAAGCAATACCGTTTTTGGGCCCGGCGGCCAATGCATCAGTTGATTCTATGGGGGTGGCCGTGACTTCCGGTGAAGGTCCAGTGAAAAATGGTACGTTGGGGTTGTTGAATTCCGATGCAAAAAACGGCGCCCCTGTGACGGGGATCACACTCAGCACCCGAGTGGGACGGCTGAGCGAAACACACTCTGACACTTGTATTCAGTGACTCAATTACCACGATGGGAAGGATGGCGATGGAACAGCAAGGCGAAAAGGTCCAGTGACTTGAATTGTTGAAAAAAATGCTTCACTCGCGCGGCTGGCTGCAATTCACAAGCGGCGGAAAGCTGCGGTGGGAAACCTGTTTGTGGGGAGTAGCATGAAGGACCATGGAAGCAAACCGAAAGTGGAAAAGCTTAAGCAACAGTTCCGTCAGCGCAGGTACGCCAGGATGGCCAATCCTGGTATCCCGTGTTCAGACTAGCTTCGTTGGGCGTAGTCATCTGAACACGCCGCCCCCTGCATGTGAAAGGTGGTGGAAAATCAGTGAAAGAAGTGGCGGTGGAAAACCCTGAAAGTTGGTGGAAATTCTGTGGCGGTGGAAAACCCTTTGTCCAGGGGTGGACACACACACATGTTTTTAAATAAATATATATATATATAATATACACATACAGAGTGCTAGGTGACTGACGTCAAGATGGCAGAAGGCTCCATCGAAAATTCTGGAAGTCATGCAGCTGACCCCTCCACATCTCCACAAACTCTTGTATTTGTTATTTTTGCTGCTTTGTGCTGCCATGTTCTGACAATGTCCAAGTCCCCATAGTTTCCTCTTAGTTTACTTTGGGGGTCAGTGAAATGTTCAGACCTACGCTTCTTCGTACGTCACTTCAGGTTCTGAATCATTCAATTGGATGCACTGATGCACTGCATGCAATGAAACATTGGCCATGAAAAGCACCACAACTTCGTCAGGAGCTGCCCCTGGACCTGTACATCATACATCATCCCAGCGAGCAAAATACCGGTGATGAGCACCCAGGGACCGGGACACGAGCGGGAGAGCTGACCGGACCTCCGACGGACGCAGACGGAGTGGCCTCGCCGACCCGACTCTGGCCGCGGACGCAAGGCTCAAAGATGGCCTTTTCAGAACTTTTCATGAATCATGAGGGAGGAACTAGAAGAACCTCGAGCCAAAAGGACTTATACAACCCAAGTGAGCATGTCCAATTTCAAGGGGGTCCTCATTTCAGCAGACATGTAACTACAGCCTCTACCTTGTGAATCACTATAACCTTGGATTCCTTGCATGGTCCACAGCCACTCTTTAAGCAAGGTGCGAGGCCTTTCAAGAAGCATCCCTCGATTTGCTGGGCTGCCACATGTTTAAATTCTACCGCCACTAGTCACTAGTCCTCCGGTTAAAAGGATGCAGATGGACGCAGATGCAGAATGATACAGAGTATATAATTTGACCCTCAATGTAGCAGTAGCAATGAAAGTATTGGACTTGGTTGCTACATGTTACTACCATTTCAGTGACACTCTCAAAGAGGAGGAGCAGAACCTTTTTGGGGCCTGTTGGCCGAAATCTTTGCCACACCGGAAGCTGGGCATGACGACCTGTCCGGCCTGTCCCCTGTCCTTCGGACTGAAGGAGCGGCCAACGGAAAGGGGTGAACATGGAAATACCGGGCAACGGAGCCGGCCACAAAGCCTTTCCAAAACTCTCGAGTGAGTGAGATCGAATGAATCGCTCGAGTGATGAAAAAGCAAAAAAAAGACAGTAGCAATATGTAGCATCATGTAGCATCGTTGGATTGTTGGAGTGAAGGGTCACAGGATGAACGTGAAGATTTCAACGATGGTCCTTTTGGGGCGCCATTCTCGCCTGCAAAAGGTGGTCGGTGGATCGATTTTGAACCATTCCACCCGGTGGGCTGTGGGGCTGCGGGGGGACAGGTGTAGCCTGAAAGCATTTGGAAGCATTGTGGGCGCTTCCGTAAAAATAGGGACAGTCGATCCATGTTTCTTTGGACTGTTCCATCAGTCCGCAATGAAGGCCCCAGGTTGAAGAAGCACCCTGAGCGAGCGCTGAACCTGAAACTGGGTGATCCTGGGGCGGCTGGAGGGCGCCCGGGAGGTTCGATCTCCTTGCACAGGTAGTGAGTTTATCCAAGTTTATGCTTGTGCCACCTATGGTTGTTGTTTTGGTAAAATCTTCAAAGCACAAGCGTGATGCGTGACCCACTCAGTCAGGAGCATTTGGCACCGAATCAAGAGGCTGGGCCCTTGTTTGCTACTTGTTTTGCAGGCAAAGGGCTGGCTTGGGATCGAGCTGATTGAAGTGTTCCCATGTATTCCCTCCCACAAGCAATTTGACGGTGGGTAGAAACATGTTTAAAACGTTACTTCAAATAAGTTTTCTAAACTCAAATTATAGCAGTATACAAACTCAAAATTTATTCGCAAAAAGATCACAACAGACTACCACATATAACCTCATTCATTTTCAAAATCATAACTACTAACCATCTGGTACTTCATTCATTGTTCAAAGTCACTACAGTGAATATATAACTATCTCATTCATTCCACAAAATCATCACTACTAACCATTTATTACCTCATTCATTCCTCAAAAATCATAACTACTAACCATCTACATCATTTTTATTGAAATCATAACAGTCAATACATCATCACCTCATCCATTCCATACTCAAAACAAAGCAACCAAACAACAAACAAAAAACAAACCAAGCAAAGAAAAACATAAACACACAAAACAATAGACACCAATATAGCATACCCCCGCACCTTTAATAATCCAATCTTCAAATCCATAATTCTAATATAAGGGGTTTTGAAATATGTTAGTAGTAAATGTTTTCAATAACTGTTAACCCAAAATGAAGGGCTTGTATTCTATTATACTTTCTTTATCTTGGTCTCCTTCAATAGCGGTTGTTATTTCTTCAACTGCTTTATGTAATACTTCATTTATATTACTGTATCTTCATTTGCATATTCATCAAAGTCATGCAAAAAGTAAATCTCTCTATAGCTACATTCATTTTTTCCATATTCCTTTTCTGGAAGTTTTGCCACCAATTGAACTTCAATATCAAGTTTAACTCTATAATTTAAATCATCTTCTACTCCTTCATAAATCAAAGATAGAAATTCTTATTGTTCTTCTGTCATTATGTCTTCTACACTTTTCAAACTAAATGACACTCCCTCTCTCACAATACAGTATTCAATGTTGTATATATGTTCTTCTTGACTTCAAATGTCTTGCCATTTTAGGACCAAGTCTTGAAATCTTATATTTGTTTTGTATTCTCTTCAATGCTTCACTATGTTTATTTTCACCTATTCAGGTTCCCCATGAGTATATGATACAATATTACTCAACACATTTACTGGCAAATCCTTCATACAATCCATCCACTACCGCCCTTCTGTATACTTAACTGACTAATCTTTAAGTACATATTCTAAGGTTAATATAAGGCGTTATTTGAAACACAACTACTTAAAGATAGATTAAGTAAATATAGCATATAAAATTATATGATGAAAAAAGTTATAGACTATCTGTTGAGTAATGATTTAGCAGAAATACAAAAAATAGTATTAAACGAATTAAAGTCCATAACCATAGATGAACAGAAATTCAGATACAACAAAGACAAACCCATATCAAATGTTTTAACACATAAATTATGTTCAGTAAAGAAAACTAATGAATACAGAAAGTTATGCTCTAAACAAGGCAAAGGGTGCTTTCAATGAAGGAAGAGTAAGGCAAATACTGACCAAACACGCAATCAGAAACAAATTCAGGGTCAGAGATGTTCAATCAGGATTTAGAGCATATGCTAATTCAATAGCTTTAGAAAATAAACACTTTGAAGGAGAACGATGTTTAGAAATGATTGCGCACCAAAAACAAAGACTATTAGAGTTTTTAAGAAATAATAGAAGCATGAAACTTAACATAAGAACAGAAGGATTTTTTGAAAAAAAAACATGAATATGATGATGGAGGAAATGAAATTGGTAGTCAAGAACTTGTATATGCTTTAGCATCAACATATTATCCAATTCATAATGAGGATGAACTGACACAAGCATTAGAAGATAGTGTTAAACAAATCTTACTACAAATACAAATCTTGAAGCATCAACCTCGAATTTAAGGTTTAAACAGATAATATCAGTCACCATTCACTATGACAAATTTGTCCCAACAAGAGCAGGCAGTTTATAGAATTACCAGAATGGATTAAGTTAAAAAAGGCATGTACCGACATTAAAACCAAAGACCAAAAATGCTTCAAAACCTGTATTCAATCCATAGCCTTTGACAAAATAAACAAAAACATCACCCAGAGGAAATATTCCACTATAGCAAATAGAACGATGACATTTTGAACTGGGATGGTGTAAAATTTCCAACTAGTAATAGGGACATAGACAGATTTGAAGAAAAAAACAAAGTAGTTTCAATAAATGTTTTGAAACTGATGACTGCCTTAATGATAATAAGATTATCATACATAGATGCACTAAAAATAGAAATGCTAAATATGAAATTGATTTATTAACAGTCTATGATGAAGATATTAACTATCACAATGTATGAGTGAAAAACAAAAGTAGATTACTTAACTGCCAAAGCAATAAAAATATCAACAAGAAACACTACTGCCATCATTGCTTAAACCCTTTCTCATCAGAAAAATACATATAAGAACCATCTTGAAAAGGGATGTATGGCATCAGAAGGACAACAAACAAAGATGCCTGATAAAACTTACATAGAATTTGAAAAGCATAATACTAAATTGCCTTGTCCTTTTGTAATCTATGGTGATTTTTAATGTCTATCGATTTGCAAACATTTCTTTTGTTTTCGCCTTTCTCTTATTTTTGTATTTATTTTTTTTTCTCTCTTTGGTATTTGTTCTTTATGTTTGCCTCATTGCTTCTCTGTTTCCTTCTTCTATACCTTTAATTCTTGTCATCATATTTATTTATTGTTCCCAGTGTTTCTTCTTTCTTGTATTTTGTTTTTTGTTCTCATGATGCTGTTTGTTTTTTTCTTTGTATTTTTCAATATTCTCTATTTGAATATTTGACGCCCTTTCGTTTCTTCAAGGTGATGCTCTCTTGTCGCATCGCAAAATTCTTTTTTTAGTCCGACCAACAATACATCTGTTAAGGCGGCTCTTTTCATTTTCAATATATTAAACGTATCTCTTTTCGAGTTGCTTTCTGTTTTGGCGTGGGCATTCTTCAGTAAGAACCATTTTACAATTTTCCACACCGAACTCATCAAACGATTTCATAGAGAGGATGGTGTTTTTGGGGATTTGTATTGTTTAAGTTTAGACAGATAAGATTTACAATCTCTTCTATGTTTTGCCATTCCTTTAAATCATCTTTTCGTTATGTAAGTTTTTTCTTCTTATGGCATAATGTCCAAACGGGAGGCTTTCAAAATCTGAATACCAGTAGCGTTTATTGTCGTAGTTGCTTAAAGCATATTTAGTCTGATTAATGCTATAAATTTGATGGTGTTTACTTCTAGTGTTAAAACCGATTTCTTCTTTACAGTTTCTATTCAATGTCTCTTCATAAGTTTTGTAACTTATATAACTGATTGCTCACTTTATGCTCGACTACTCCTTTACTTTTCTTGTGTTCTTTCTCATCACCATACACTTTAGAACAATATGCCTTTGGTTTCAATCCTATAAAGCGAGTATTTATTTTACCGTTCATTTCATCCTTGAATTGTCCTAATACCTTCTTGTTTGATTTATCATGATTTGGATGTTCTGCTGGATAATCACTGAAATCCATGTATTCACTTACCTCCTCAAAAAAAAGTCTTCATATAAGTCATCAGTTTCAACTTTGATTACATAACTATCAGTATCAGTATAGACCAATTTAATATTATCTTGATATGTTGGTGTCAAAACCTCATAATAGAAGGAATACATGTGATTTTTTGAATTGTCTAAA